AGATATGTTATGGATAAAAATAAATTAAACAAGATTTGCCTGAGCATTGCATCCGAATGCCTTACCAAATTTGAAATAAAAATAAAATACGGAAAACAAATACTAATAATAAAAATAAATAAAAATAAAAACAGAATTAAATTTAGTGAGTCCGCGAGCATGTTTTCGACACCGCCATCTTTGGCGATTTTTCATTTTTTTTTGGCATAGCTAAATGCCCTGAAAATTTACAGATGTGTACTTCACATACTATTAAACCCACTAAAAAAGTTTCAAGGAATAATAAAATTGTTTAGACCCCTAACCAAAGTGAAAACAAAAAGTAAAAAGTGAAAAAATACGTGGGCGAGCACGTTTTGACACCGCCATCTTTGGCGATTTTTAATTCTTATTAGGCTAAGCTAAATGACTTGAAAATTTACAGGCATGTACCTCACGTCATAGAGAACTCACAAAAAAACATTCAGAAAAAGCTAATTAGTTTTAGGCCCCGAAATAATTTTTGGTGGGGGCCGAACGCCGTCGAGTTCGGACCCCGTACGGGACCCCGAACGCCCGTTCGTACGGAGGTCTGCCCGGGGACCTCCGTACGTACGGGCTGGTGACCCTGATCATATATATATATATATATATTTGACGATATATATATATATATATATAGATAGTCAAACAGAGCTGCCTGGTAAACTGTAGGCAGAGAGGGAGAAGAGGACAACAAACGAGGGGTTGTCACAAACTGTTTCGTCGGAGTTTCATCGACTCATCAGGAGGCTGAACCCTCGACAGACTGCAGAATCCCCTAATTGATTATACTGTAAGTGATAATCCACCTTAACCCCGACTGTGGCTAAGCATCAACGACTGCCCGACAACTGATACCCTTAGGTGGGCACCAACCACTGCCCTCAAGGTACCTGTGGCAAAAGTCAAAGCAGACTATCACTCACCCACACCAGATGGAAAACTCTACGGACTGTCGGTTCACACCCATCACAAGCAAGCAAAACACCCACGAAACCAAGAAAGGTCTATCACAACCAAAAAATACACTCCAAACACGCCGCTGGCACTAGAGGCACAACATGGCTGCATAGTGACGGCCCCGACCACTGCCGCTCGACCTGACCGGAGAAAACCGTAGCAGGAAGCTAGCGAAGTCGTAGTATATATCGTCAAATAGAACTGCCCGGTAAACCGTAGGCAGAGAGGGAGAAGAGGACAACAAACGAAGGGCTATGGCAAACTGTTTCGTCGGATTTTCACCGACTCATCAGGAGGTTGAACCCGTAACAGTCTGCAAAATCCCCTAACTGATTACAATATATATATACAGGGTAACCGGCGTTCGGGACGGGCCGAACGCCCGAACACCCGAACGCCCGAACGTATGGGACCCCTCGGGGATGCGTTCGGCCGTTTGGGCCGAACGCGGACCCAAAAAAAAAAAAAGCCTTCAAAAAAGTCTCCAAACACACAGCTTTGCTGATACAACACATTATCCTTCTCACGGAGAGTTTCAACGACTCCTTGTAGTGCAACGCTGAGGCGGGCAGAAGTGACGGTAGTACTGGCCAAGGGTTTGTGGGGAGGTCGATGGTGGACTGCATGAACATATGACGCAATTGATCGAGATCCTTGCAGCAGGGAGAGATTATTCCGCTCTGTGACGCCGACAATACTGCGAAGCCCAAGGGGCGATTTGTGCGCTTTAAGTGCATAGTATAGATATGACAGTGTGTCTTTGTGCGTTTATCCCCACCGATGATTCCAGAGCGCGTGATGTTCGAGAATATCTGCGACAGACTCAAAAGGCACATCATAGGTAGGGCTGTCCAAATGAGCAGAGAGATGAGACAAGTACCAATTTTTACAACAGATTGCTAAGTTATGTGAGGTCTTGTCGACAGGAATAATAGCAAAGTGTTGTTGAAGGTGTCTCAAAGCCCTGTGCACTGAGTGAAGAGAGTGCGGTTGTCGTGTAGTAATATGGGGGGATGAGATGTTGCTTTCGCAACGTGTGAGAACAGCTGAGCGCCACTGCTGCAATTTGCTCAGAGCGGCAGGCCGAAGCTGCTCGGAGACCGACCTTAGGTATTGAGCAATATACTCGTCAAGGCCGACTCTAACAGCCTGAAGCACATCAGCGATTTGTCCATTAAGACGATACTTCGAGCCTTCATGGAACAAGTCGCGGAGGCGATCATCAGGAATGATATCGCAGTCGGCTGTAACAACATAGCCGTCGACTAAGTGTGAGCAGTCAGGAAACACTTTCTGACATTGACAGTCTGAGGGGTCAGACAGGGACATCCCAGGTGTGACGCTGAGCGCAACTTCCATGAAATTAGAGAATTGGACGCGAGTTGGCAGCAACAACTTATCACAGATACGCAGGTGTGCTGCTGCATCAAGGTCAGGGTGCAAGTGGAGCACCTGGGGTGCATGCAAGGCTTGTCGCAACCGCGTTACCTGAGACACCTCGTGCATGTGCACAACTTTAATATGATCAAGGAAGGCATCTCGAGACTGAGCTGTGTATGGCTGGAGGACATGTTGATACTTCCGAATCAGGCTTTAAAGCTGACGGATATGCGCAGTCATATCTGCATTGGAGATATTATTGCTCAACCACTGCAACAAGCGGGCACGCCAAACTGACGTTGCTTGCTGGATGACAGATTCCATCTGTTGCGAATTGTCAGCAACAGCCTGTGAGAGAAGATTGTGCAATGCTGACCGGACTTGAAAGTCGGGGCCTGGACGCAAACCAATAGGCTGAGGTCATTGATGGTCTGACGAACGAGGGCCTGTCTGTGTCCACCGATGAGGACGACGTTGTCGTCTTCTTGCAACCAGGCGAGCAAGCAGTAGGACAGCATTGAGACCAGCTGGATGAAGAGTCCGCAACCGGCGTACCCAATAGGCTTCCCGTGTTGTAGCAGCCCGTCGAAAAAGGTTGCGGTCAACAAGACCTTGCGGTGTATGGTAAAGGGCCGGGTCAATACGTTCCAAGGGCCATACTGCAAAATTGAAGGGGTTTTGACAAGACATGACACTGTAGAGCCGGCAACGCCGAAACTCCGCAGCAGAACGACGAACATGCCAATGTTCCTGCAAACATTGATGCGAGGAGTGCATAGTCTGACCAATGTAAAGACGCCTAGAGGGGATATGAACGATGACATAGATCACTCCCTGGACATCCCTTAGAAAAATTGGGTGGGTTTGGTTTTAAATTCCCAACCAATTCTTTTATAAAAGCCAGGAACCGGGCCCACATCCCTTATAAAAATTGGGTGGGTTTTGTTTTGCGCTCTAATAGGATTTCATTAGGGCAGTGATCACCGGTAGCAGTAGGCCGTGGGTGTCCTGGAATATGAGACCACCTCCCATCCCAACCTAACGTTACTCCTAGCGCACCCCCTATTCCACTATCCTACCTTAGTGTGACCAGTACTCAGGACCATTACCCTACTAATGGGCAGGTAACTTGGACCGAACAGCAGTGATAGGCACGAGGGCTGATAGGTTGCCCAGCCCTGGTGGAAGCGGAATCGGACGAGCCTTGTCGAACGGGAACTTCAGACGTCAGGCCCAGACAATCTACTACAGGCCCCAAGAGACTCTGGGCCCTAGGTTTCAGACAGGGTAGCACC